AGAAATAACAATACAGGGCTTTTCTAAGTCTTGTAATTGGAATGAGTACAACTTAAATCCTTTAACGAGGATCCATTGGAGGGCAAGTCTGGTACCAGGAGTCGCGGTAATTCCAGCTCGAATAGCGTATATAAAAGCTGTTTCAGTTAAAAAGCTCGTAGTTGGATTTTGGGGTGGCAAGGCCGGTCCGCTGCAAGGTGTGTAACCTCAGCATCATTAAGGCATGGCTCTCAGATGAAAAACTGATTAGCTATATCATAGCCAGTTTTCTACGAATCTTCCCCAAACTTGGCAAGTTAATGTCTTTTGTGAAAAGAAGGAACCTTAGAGCCTTGGTTACCATGGAAACTAAGTCACGTGACTACAATGCCGCCATCTTGGATTTTTAAACAAGCCGTTTGTAAACGTACCCGAACATCTTTAAAAGTCATGAAAATGCAGATTACTATTCATATTTACAATGCCTATATGGATCTAATTGGATATCTTGGAAATTATTTTAAGTTTAATTTATAGAATATTTTCTATTTTTCAAAAAAATTACAATGAATCGGAGGCCTCGTCCCTTGAAATGGAGCACGGCCGATGTGTGCGGCCAGCGTCCCTACTGCGGGAAAGCCAAAAGCTTTCTTTGCCCTCTACCGAGGAGTCGCCTGACCGACGGTCCGGCAGGAGTTCGGCAGGTAGCCCTCGTCGTTGCCCCTACATTCTTGACCTCAGATCGTTTTTTTAATTATTCGATGAAGCGGAAGCGAAACGAAAGTTTCGCGTTCTGGATTTAAGGTCTTTCTTCTGCAGACCAATTCGAGTTAAAGACACTTTCAGGTTGAGAGTTTGGATGGGGTGGCACATCTGTCAAACGAATAACGCAGGTGTACTAAGGTGAGCTCAATGAGAACAGAATTCTCATGTAGAACAAAAGGGTAAAATCTCACTTGATTTTGATTTTCGGTATGAATACAAATTGTGAAAGCATGGCCTATCGATCCTTTAGTATTTAGGAGTTTTAAGCTAGAGGTGTCAAAAAAGTTGGCTTGTGGCAGCCAAGCGTTCATAGCGACGTTGCTTTTTGATCCTTCGATGTCGGCTCTTCCTATCAATGTGAAGCAGAATTGTGTTGGATTGTTCAAACAACGATAGGGGCAATGCTTGCGCGCCTCCCTGCGTCCCAACGTGCAGGAATAAAGACTTTTTTGTATTACTTTATTCATTTAGATTTAGATGTATTTATTTAGATTTTTATTGAAAATTTTATCGCTGCCCATGAGCTGAGTTACGTAATTATGTACAAACAACAAAAAATATATATAATTATAATAATAATGATAATAATTAAAACGGAATATTAATAACAGTAATAATATAGTAGCAACATAAAATTGTAGCAATAGTAATTCTAACAAATATTTATATAATTTTTTTATATATGTTTGTTGATTGAACACCTACCTTGTTTGACTCTCCGGAATACTTGGTTATTACATTTATGGTTGGAGGGGTTATTACGTTTATGGGGGGTTTTGATTATTGCATTTATGGTTTAATTTTCAGTATTACATTGATTTATGGTGGGGTCGATTATCACATTTATGGTTGACTGTTAGTACATTTATGGTTGTTATTACATTTATGGTTGATTTTTATTACATTTATGGTTGATTTTTATTACATTTATGGTGGGTATTACATTTATGGGTGTTATTACATTTAAGGGTAATACAGCAGCTGTTGATGTTGGCAAATTTTTGTTTGTTTTTGTTTGTGGAAAAAGAAGACGAAAACGTTTTCAATATATCTTGCGAACGCCATAAATTATTTATATATTGTGCGGTCTCTATCTTGAATTTAAAATTATTAAATGGCCTATAGTTGATAATTGGTAAATATTTATAGGTGGCTTATGAACTTTTCAAGATGTGTTTCATTCAGTGACTTTAATTTTCCAGCGTGCAGTGTTTACTTTTTCTTTGAGTCCCTTAGCTTATTCACTTTTAAAAGTACTAGTGAAAGTACTAGTGAAAGTTAATTATTAAATTCGTTAGAGAGGCAGTGGAGTATCCAGGTGTGTGTGTGGAGGGGGGGTTTGATCTTTTAGCTAATACAAATATGTCTTATATAAATTTTAATAAATAAATATTAGTAGTTTTGGTCGTTGGGTCGTGTTATTATAGCTTGGTCAGTTACTAGATAGTAAATTAGGTGATTAGAGCCAATTTCTATGTCAAACATCGACTAAACAAATGAGAATTATACACAGTTTAAGAAACGAAATCCCCCTTTGAAAAATCCTGGATCCGCCACTGAGAGGTACTTGAAATGTGTGTGATTTTTTAAAATGAATTAATTGTGCTTGCGTGTTTTTCGGTTTTGAATTAATTCTGAGTTTGCAAGAAGAAAGTAATACATATTTAAATATATAACCAGCCTCGATCTTCTATCTTATACAGTTTATTTGTGAATTCATAATTATTAATTATAAATAACCCATTACTTATTATTAGATATTATTCTATAGTGGGTGCCCTCTGTATATTCTTTTTCAAGACTTTTTGATGTGTGTTTATAAATGATGTACTATGATGTACTACTAATGCTTGTTTGAATACGAAAAGAATTCTCTCTTAATAAGTAATACATTAAAGATATTAATACTATTTTGATAATTGCATCTTAATTTTTGTCAAAAGCTTTTCTTTGAATATACCATTCGTAATTTCTAGCATTCGAGGCAATATTTTGAAATCTGCTGAGTTGGCTGCTAATTTCAGCGCTGTGATTTCTTCGCTTAAAAATACACAAAATTGATAAATGCTCTGTTGTTGATTTCTAAAACATCGTTATTTGAGAATAACACACATATAAGAGCATTGATTTAAACCTTAAAGATGGCCGCTCCATACATTTTAACCAAAAATTGCGTCGTTTACTCGCCTCTAGTTCCGCAACGAAATGCTTTACAGCTTCGAAATTTGGCCAGAATATGTAGTTTTGACCGCTTTACACGCTTATAAAATTTTTATTTCATTATAATTCTTAGTGAAAACCAAAAATTACCTTAAATTAAACTTATAACTTGTAGCGGTCACCGCCGTGAACTGGAAAGTCGCTCGCGGACTCGCTAGTTCGCAATATCATATGGAAACTCGTTAGTAAAGACGATATCAAGCTCTTAACATGAGTGATAATCTCAGTTTATTTTTGAAGTATGAATTAATCAAATACTGAGAAAAGTAGTATATGGGTCCAGTTCTGGGTTTTTCCCAAATTGGATTGTATTTGGAAGTTATATTCTTATTCTTTGATTGCACGTTACGTCATCGCGGCC